TTTGTTACTACAGCAATTTTCAGTTTATGTCAGGCTATTTCGCTACCGTTTATTCATCTACATCGTTTGGGTTTTTAAAAAGTGTGGACCAATGATTGCCAGCATTTTAAATTAAGAAATTTTTTAAAGTTTAATACTCTGCTAATATTTATTCCCACTTATATTCCTTCTAACAAAGATATTGTAGATACGTAGATATTGTACGCATACGCAGTGAGAATTGTGTATTACGAAAACTCCTGTCTTATAGGAGGTTACAAAGATTCCGGTAGGGGAATTCTGCAGAGAATATCCCAGTTTATTCAAAATTCCCCCAAATCATAAATGACAATGTAAATAGAGTATAAAAAGTGTGTTTGAATTTATCGTATTACAAGGTTTTATTAGATTATCTTAGAGTGTCCACTACTTTAACACCATCCATGGTTTTCCCTGGGGATGTATTCGCCATGTTTAGGACTATTAAACAATAAAAATCCAGATATACGTATGACCATTTTTAAACAGAACTAAGGGTTGCTAAGCTCAAGTTAAAATCGTTGTCAACGTCGTTGTTAAGGTCAATATTTGCATGTTTTTCAGCATTATTTAGCAAACATTCTGCATACATATATACTGTTAAGATGACCGAGTCAGATCATAAGAAAGCTTATCAAGAATATAAGTTAGAATTAGAACAGTTGTAATATATTTTGCGATAAAAATATGCGGTGGTTATATACGTTGTTATGTGTTGCTAAGTCATTAGCAACGCTTGGGTGCATGCATATATTAACGTACAAAATATTTGTAGACTAATGAGGCGGGCGGGTCGCGAGGGCGGAAAGAGCAGGCTTTGCAGGCAAAAGTTTGCACAAGATTTTAGTTTTAAAATATTGTCAAGCGATTTCTATATTTTAGTGCTAGGTGTTTAAAGTACTAAAAGTCGGATAAGGTTAATAACTTTAAGCTATATTAAAGCACACCGGTTGCTATGTGTTGTTAGGGTGTAACTAATTATAGGATTAACTTTAATCAGAGATTTGCATTTTCTACTGTGTGGATAAATACGGGTAGATTAGGATATTCATTGCGCGGGCGTCGCGGGTTATCCGTGCGGGTTGGAAATACAACAATAAGGAGGCTTATATTGGAAGAGAGAAAGCAATTTAGACAAGGCAGGAGCGTTTAGCAGCCAAAAGTTTACACAAGAATTCAATCGTAAGATATATTTATTTCTTCGAGACGTTTACAAAGTTAATGTGGTCTACTTCTTAGAGTATAATGTGTTGATTTTATTTAAATTACGCACAACAATTTAAACTTTTCGTAATAAGAGTCGTTTGGTTTAATTGTTCATTCGCCATGCTTTCTATATTCCTAGTACTATCGACCCTACATCGACCCAACATCGACCCCACATCGACCCCACATCGACCCTACATCGACCCTACATCGACCCTACATCGACCCTTATCTTCAACTTCTTATCTTCCTTATCTTTATCTTTCTTATCCTTATCTTCCTTATCCTTATCTTCTTATCTTTATCCAGCTTTCTTCATCTTCCTTATCCTTATATTTATCTATTTATCTTCCTTATCCTTATCTTTATCCTCCTTATCTTTATCTTCCTTATCTTTATCTTTATCTTCCTTATCCTTATCTTTATCTTCCTTGTCGTTACCTTTTTACCTTCCTTATCCTTATCTTTGTCTTGATATCTTCCTTATCCTTAATAATCCTCCCGCTATATTGATATGTTCAACACAACCTAGGCTCACAATCGAGCTCGAATGGCTCGGAGCCGAGCTCGAAAGGCTTTAGGATTCAATGATTCACTCTTCTGATTCAATGATTCAATCTATGATTCAATGATTCAATCTTATGATTCAATGATTCAATCTTATGATTCAATGATTCAATCTTATGATTCAATGATTCAATCTTATGATTTAATGATTCACTCTATGATTCAATGATTCAATCTTATTATTCAATGATTCTCCCTATGATTCATGAATCATAGAGAGAATCATTGAATTATAAGATTGAATCATTGAATCATAGAGTGAATCATTAAATCATAAGATTGAATCATTGAATCATAAGATTGAATCATTGAATCATAAGATTGAATCATTGAATCATAAGATTGAATCATTGAATCATAGATTGAATCATTGAATCATAAGAGTGAATCATTGAATCCTAAAACCTTTTGAGCTCGGCTGCGAGCCATTCGAGCTCGATTGTGAACCTAGGTTGTGTTGAACATATCAATATAGCGGGAGGATTATTAAGGATAAGGAAGATAAGAAGATAAAGATAAGGAAAAGGAAGTATAAAGATAAGGATAAGGAAGATAAAGATAAGGATAAGGAAGATAAAGATAAATATAAAGAAGATAAAGATAAGGAGGATAAAAATAAGGATAAGGAAGATAAAGAAAGGTAGATAAAGATAAGAAGATAAGGATAAGGAAGATAAGGATAAAAAAGATAAAGATAAGGAAGATAAGAAGTTGAAGATAAGGGTCGATGTAGGGTCGATGTAGGGTCGATGTAGGGTCGATGTGGGGTCGATGTGGGGTCGATGTAGGGTCGATGTAGGGTCGATAGTACTAGGAATATAGAAAGCATGGCGAATGAACAATTAAACCAAACGACTCTTATTACGAAAAGTTTAAATTGTTGTGCGTAATTTAAATAAAATCAACACATTATACTCTAAGAAGTAGACCACATTAACTTTGTAAACGTCTCGAAGAAATAAATATATCTTACGATTGAATCCTTGTGTAAACTTTTGGCTGCTAAACGCTCCTGCCTTGTCTAAATTGCTTTCTCTCTTCCAATATAAGCCTCCTTATTGTTGTATTTCCAACCCGCACGGATAACCCGCGACGCTCGCGCAATGAATATCCTAATCTACCCGTATTTGTCCACACAGTAGAAAATGCAAATCTCTGATAAAAGTTAATCCTATAATTAGTTACACCCTAACAACACATTGCAACCGGTGTGCTTTAATATAGCTTAAAGTTATTAACCTTATCCGAGTTTTAGTACTTTAAACACCTAGCACTAAAATATAGAAATCGCTTGACAATATTTTAAAACTAAAATCTTGTGCAAACTTTTGCCTGCAAAGCCTGCTCTTTCCGCCCTCGCGACCCGCCCGCCTCATTAGTCTACAAATATTTTGTACGTTAATATATGCATGCACCCAAGCGTTGCTAATGACTTAGCAACACATAACAACGTACACAGGGTGTATCAAAAAAAGGAGACCTTTAGAAATCAAGCATATTGTTAAAATTTGAATGCCTTTTCAATTGCAGATATGCTGAAACGTAGTGCGTGAAATATTGATGGACGCATATATTAGAAAAAGGAGACCTTTAGAATTTGAAATAACGTTTAAACAAAAGATTGTCTGCTCCTGGGAACAATCTGCTATGTGCTTAGCAAAGTGCTCCAGGATTCAAATTATAACAATGGTTGATTTCTAAAGGTCTCCTTTTTCTAATATATGCACTACATCAATATTTCACGCACCACAGTTCAGCATATGTGCAATTGAAATGGCATTCAAATTTTAACAATATGCTTGATTTCTAAAGGTCTCCTTTTTTTTTATACACCCTGTATAACGACCGCATATTTTTATCGCAAAATATATTACAACTGTTCTAATTCTAACTTATATTCTTGATAAGCTTTCTTATGATCTGACTCGGTCATCTTAACAGTATATATGTATGCAGAATGTTTGCTAAATAATGCTGAACAACATGCAAATATTGACCTTAACAACGACGTTGACAACGATTTTAACTTGAGCTTAGCAACTCTTAGTTCTGTTTAAAAATGGTCATACGTATGTCTGGATTTTTATTGTTTAATAGTCCTAAACATGTGAATACATCCCCAGGGAAAACCATGGATGGTGTTAAAGAGATAATCTAATAAAACGTTGTAATACGATAAATTCAAACACACTTTTTATACTCTATTTATATTGTCATTTATGATTTGGGGGAATTTTGAATAAACTGGGATATTCTCTGCAGAATTCCCCTACCGGAATCTTTGTAACCTCCTATAAGTCAGGAGTTTACGTAATACACAATTCTCACTGCGTATGCGTACAATATCTACGTATCTACAATATCTTTGTTAGAAGGAATGTAAGTGGGGATAACTATTAGCAGAGTATTAAACTTTAAAAATTTTCTTTATTTAAAATGCTGGCAATCATTGGTCCACACTTTTTAAAAACCCAAACGATGTAGATGAATAAACGGTAGCGAAATAGCCTGACATAAACTGAAAATTGCTGTAGTAACAAACGACAGAGAAGTAGACAGAAATCAGAACTAAAAATTGTAGATAACCAAACGGCAGCGGTTCAAATATATCAAGTAAGCTCGAATAAATTAACGTGAGTGTGAACAAATTAAATGACTTATGACGTCATGGGTGGTGCTGAGTGCACCACCTGCACCACCTGAGCCAGAACCCCTCTTCCCTATACTACTCACCTGGCAACAGTGGCGTGCTGGGTACTATTTTTCGGGGGTGGGGTGGGGTGGAGTGGGGTGGGGGGG